ACAGACACCAACATGAATTGAGAAATGGCTATGGTGTTTTCATGTAACGCTTATGATCCAAGTTAACCCAGCTATTAATATGTAGAGGTATCAAATATTACGAAGCCTCCTTCCAACAGCTTCTCATCAGGTTATGTAGTTGTTCAAATCTCTGAGGTTCTGCAGCGCTCATCAAAACACAGGAGAGAAAGCCTCAGAGTTCTTACAGCACTTGAAGTTCCTACTTACCACCGCACCGATGTTCAGCCCGTATTCCACTGAGGGGGCGAATGTTTGTGCGTGTTCGTGAAGGGTGAAAATGGTGCATTCTCGTCATCTATCTAGCCATGCATCCATCCGTTGAAATGTAATTTTTCAAGCGATTAAGTGTGATTTTCAAGTGAAATCTAGAAAATAACAAAGGTAACTTCTCCCAAAAAAAAAAAAAAAGGCAATTGCATAAGCCTAAAGCCAGGATGTTAAACAGTGAACCTGCTGTCTTTATCTTAGTGGGTGAAAACAAAAGGTGCTGTGTTTGGTTTTGCTGGAACTGCGTAAGAACATCATATTCACACTGAGTCAACATGATATAATATTGGAAATAGGTGCCAAATTTAAAACATTTGCTTAAATTCATGGACAGAAATTGCTATTTGCAATAAAACCTGTTGTGCCTGGCAATGTGAATTGCACACTGCTCTCGTGCCTCAAATAAAGAGCACGCGAAGGCTTCTCAATGAATCACTTTCTCTGAGCAAGATGAGTGTGAACATCCCAGGCGTTGCGATGATGGTGCTTTTCTATCTGCTGGTGCTGGGCACTGGCATCTGGGCCGCCACCAAGACCAAGCGGTTGCGTAAGAACAAGCAGGCAAATCAGATGGACGTTGCGCTGCTGGGAAATAGAGGGATACATCTGGCGGTGGGAGTTTTTACCATGACAGGTACACTATATGACAAGATGTCTCATCTCAGTGCTTGTGATTGTAAAAGTTTTTTTTATTTTGTTTTTTTGTATGAATCGTATAGTCTATTATGGTAGGGATGCCCGGAGTTTAAAAGTTGAATCCCACAAAAATGTAGCCTGCGGAATAAATAATTGAAAGATGGATACTTTCTTTATAGGGGTGCACATAAAAAGTTTGGTGTGGTTCTCAGTTGAGCACCAGAGGTGGTTGGATGGTGCTCATTTTTTTTCCCGATGGTGCTCTTTATTTCTGGACCCATCGACTTCATGGATGAACTTATAGATTCAGAGCACATCTGGGCAAAGTCGGACCCGCAGGCCACATCCGTCCTGGCCACAGTCCCCGCAACCTTTCGGAAGTCCAGCTAATACATCGAGTATGTGCTGCTCTTATTTTGATGACTATGTCTGACAGCAGTGGAAAGGAATATGAGCAGCGGCTTGGTTCTGGCAACAGTATAAAAAAATATGTATATATGAAAAGCCACATCAAATGGTGTCTTCGTGTTAAAAAGAATCTCGTGTGAGCGGCAATCTTCCTGCACAGTGAAGGGAAGAGAGGAATTTACCAAAGTAATCATTCGGTAGTCGTAAGAAGAGCAAATACTGCAGTAGTTTGTGCTCAGCACGTTTTAAAAATATCTACAAAAATATGGACACTGCACACATACTTGGGTTTTTTTTTTGTGTGTGTGTGTGTGTGTGTGTGTGTGTGTGTGTGTGTGTGTGTGTGTGTGTGTGTGTGTGAGAATGTTTATGCAATGATTTCATATTAATGTGGAGAATTTTGATATGACTGATTTCATTTATTTTTCACCAGTTTTGAATTGTAATTTTCTCACTATAACAAGCGATAAACGGGGTACACAAGTGGTGATACAATTTATTGCTTTCGTAAAAAAGACATTAAACTCATGTTTAACACAATTGTCTTAGCATGTTGGTGTGGCCCTCGGCAACCGTTTCAATTTTTCCATACGCCAGATTCAAAAAATTAATTGCCCACCGAGGGTTTGTATAGTGGTGTTCCTTGAGGACCTTCAAGGCCTTCTCTGCAGGCACAAACACTATCAGAAACACAAACCTACATTTACAACTTGAATGACGTAGAAATAATTTATGTCCAACAATCTTTTGTCATCATTTCATTGCCTACGTCTTGGCTTCCAATTCAGATTTTATTTATTTATTTATTTTTGATCCAATCAGATTTCAGCTTCAATGTGTTGCGATGCGCATATTATTTCATCCAATGACCTTCAGGAACTTGAGTGCAGGCCACACACACACACACACACACACACACACACACACACACACACACACACACACACACACACACACACACACACACGCACGCACAAAACCATCCATCCATTTTATGAACTGCTTTATCCTCACAAGAGTTGCCGGGGGTGCTGGAGCCTATCCTAGCTGACTTTGGGCAGGAGGCGGGGGACACCCTGAACCGGTTGCCAGCCAATCGCAGGGCACACACAGACGAACAACCATCCGCGCTCATTCACTGGTTCGCACGTTGGCCTCACAGTGCAGAGGTCTCTACACTGTGAGGTTCGATTCCGGCTCCGGCCTTCCTGTGTGGACTTTGCATGTTCTCCCTGTGCCTGCGTGTGTTTTCTCCGGGTACTCTGGTTTCGTCCCACATTCCAAAAACATGCACAGCAGGCTGATTGAACACTCGAAATTGTCCCTCGGTATGAGTGTGAGGGCGGATGGTTGTTTGTCTAGGTGTGCCCTGCGGTTGGCTGGCAACTGGTTCAGGGTGTCCTCCGCCGAAGTCAGCTGGGATAGGCTCCAGCACCCCCGCGTACCTTGTAAGGATAAAGTGGATAGGAAAATGGATGGCTGGACGGATATATACATGTATGAATGGCGGGCAGCGGGTCCTGTATAAATGAATGGCGGGAATTTAGTGATCCATTCCACCTCCTAATACGCCATAACATCACAATATATAACCGCCCCCCCCAAAAAAAAAAAAAACTCTACACTACAGAGAATGTCACTAAATTGTCACTAAAAACACCTTGGCAGATTGACAGACAATTGTCTGTATAGTCCAAGCACTGATACGAAAGAGGCCAATGTATGGCATTACAGAAGAGCATTTCATGTATTTGAGGATATTACTAAAAACACAAAAAAACGCAGTTATCTTTATCGTCCAAAACATCACCTAGAGAACTCCAAACCTCTACAGTACAACTTGACAATCCTCATGGCATCCGTGTGTGCGTGTGTGCGTGCATAATCATACGTGTGCATGGGTGCGTGTGTGTAGGTGTGTGTGTGTGTGTGTGTGTGTGTGTGTGTGTCTACATATATATATATATATATATACATAAAATGAAATAAAATTCCAATGAAATTGGCCGATTAAGTTAAGAAAATTGAACAAATAAAATTACTTTTTTGCTCCCTTAACACTTACAAAAACAGATCTGAAGTATGGGCAGAATATTTGAATGTATCACAATACTTTGTCCTTGAGGATTTGTTTAACTTTACAGCAGAGAGTAAAATTGGCAAAACTTGGTTACTTTTTTTTGGGGGGGGGGGGGGAACAATTTTAGGAGGGATGTTTGAACATCATTATCTTTGTCTTCCATGTGCAAGAAAATAAGTACATTTAAAAAAACGAGGCCGATTTTTTGGGGTGGAGGGTGGGGGTGATTTTTGACCATTTAAAGAGCTGATATCGGCCAAATAAATTGGAAAGGCCACAGTAACACCACCATTACAGGTAATTTGAACACATTTATTGATTTAAAGTGCAATAAATGTGAAAAATCAGACTGGTACCTTTGCGCATGAATCACTTCCCAAGAAGTAGCTCTCAGCTTTAAAAAGGTTGGTGACCCTTGATTTAAATCTTTCAGAAATTATACATGCCAAAGCGTTTTGTGTTGCTTTGGGGAATGTTTTTTTTAAAGTACAATTCATGACTGTACTGTACGTGTTGTGTCCTCCAGCGACATTCACTGGCGGAGGATTCGTTGTTGGGCTGACTGAGATGGTTTACACTCCAGACTTTGGCCTGGCCTGGGCTGTCATGCCAATCACAATCAGCTCTTCTTTTATAATAGGTAAGCTCTGGCACTTAATTTGATTTGATTTATATTTTTTCCTCTATCAAGAGTGTACACTGTTTGGATACCAAATCATGTAAAGGAGACTAGCTGAATTTGACTTGGTTGTCTCGTTAAAATTTTTTTTAAAAAAATCCCAATTCTGTGTGTCGAAAGGGGGAGTTTTCCTCGCCAAGCCAATGAGAGACAGAAAATATGTGACAATGATGGACCCATTTCATGACAAATATGGAAAGGTAATCAGCGGAGTGTTTTCTGTTGCACTGATGTTGACTGATCTAGTCTGGGTGCCGTCAACTCTCATGGGCTTGGGTAAGTACAAGTGTTATGAAGTATTCTCGAACAACTTAGTAAATTTCTTTGAACACATACTGCACATTTGTACAGACAGAAATGTGGGAAAATGAAACAAAACAAAAAGCAGCTCGGAAAAGGTTTGCTTCCCTTTCATCCACTGGAATAATTCCTGGTAATTGGTGGTCTTCCGCGACCAGGGAAGGACACATAAACACCCCAACAGTTCAAAAAGTCTTTCCTGCAAATATTTTGTCGAGCGTCCTTGAGTCCATAATATGTGTAAGTTGCTGTGTCATCGATGTTACTTCGTTAACAGGCTCAGAACAACAGTCTAAAAAATGTGGTTTGGACTTATTTAATTTTACTGACAAAAATGAATGAAATAAAGTGGAAAAATTAGGGGAATCATTTTTCTGTTAATGATAGGCATGCCTCAACCTACATGATGCGACTATGAGCAATTTTGATCTTTTCATGTCGTTTTTTGTTTGTAGTTTGTGAATACATCCTCGATGTACTGTATGTTTGGTACATTTGTCACTTTTAGGCGCATCGATGAGCGTGATCCTGGATTTACCATACACACACTGTATCTGGATTTCGGCAACAGTCTCCATTATCTACACGTTGCTGGGTGGGCTCATTTCTGTAGCCTACACAGATGTCGTTCAACTGACCCTCATGTTTGTTGGAATGGTGAGTGGCTGACGTCATACAATTCTACAAACATTTGTGTTTCATATTCGTACTCTTTGCAGTGGATATGCGTCCCTTTCCTGCTCACGAACCCCTATTCAGATGACATCTCTACGACCGCTTTAAACTTCACCTACCAGGCCCCATGGGTCAGTTCCGTTGACTCAGACAAAATATGGACTTGGATTGATCAAACTTTGTTGCTGGTGAGCGCTTTGCATTTGCAACTACAGTGAATATACATTAAATGTCGACACATCCCGTGTTCAAATGCCAGCATTTTGTGACGCAAAAAATGAGATCAAGATCCAGTAAAAGATTTACAAACTTTTCCTTAATTCATTGACCTATCATCTGTACAACTCGATTGAGTTCCATCCATCCATTTTCTAATCCGCTTATCTTCACAAGTACCCGAGGGACATCACCCTCAGATCCCTTCGTCAGGGTGTGCCCACCCTCGGTCATACCCCGGGAACCCAATCTACCCCATCTGCTGGTGGACCCGGGCTTTGCGGTCAGTTTATACACCAGTGTGCATTACGTTTTGACCAGCAACTGCCCACCTACTCCCATGACAGTTCTAAGCCTTTATTATGAGTCTCTTGACTGACCAGGCTGCTTCTTGGGCTTTGGGCGTGAGCAACGCATGACCGGAAATCCGGTCATCCTTCTCTGACTTCAGAACTGAATTGCGTCGTGTGTTTCACCATCCGGTCAAAGGAAAAGAAGCCGAAGGACAATTACTTGACTGCGTGCAGTGTAGTTAGCCTGAGGTGGACTACTCGATCCCATTTCGTATTATGACTGTCTAGAGCGGCTTTAATGATGCGTGTTTTGCGTAGCATTTTCTGCCACAGACTAAATCCCCAAATCAGATTTTTTCCATAAGATTATTTTGTCTCAGTCACCATTTGTGGGATCCGCCGCCATTCCGGATTATTCTGGAACACTACACATAAAGGAAAAACTTTCAGGTTAAACAACTGAAAGGATACTCTACAGTATGTAATCAATCCAATTGAATTATTTTAAATTAAGACACACACAATCGAATGCTTAATAAATAATGTTAGTTGGAGGTAAAACTTGCAGGTAACACCAATTCCACATTTATATTTTTTAGTAAAGCCAATATTTTAACTGTGACAGAGTACTTCAGTGTTTTATTTGTTCATTCTGACATCTATTTGGTTTTTATTTTTTCGAGCAGAAGACTTCAAGATTTGTCTCATTTCTTTGATTCACAAAAAAACTGGTGTGTTGGCTTATTATTTCGACTGTATTACATGCCACATTTTGACTGGTGGCAGACAAGCATGTGCAGATGAGAGTTTTTTATTTTAGATTTTTGGAAACTTGGCTTGTCAAGACTACTACCAGAGGGTCCTGTCAGCATCTTCCTCAGCCACAGCGAGGCTGGTCAACTTCCTAGCTGCTCCCATCGTCATCCTCTTTTCAATCCCATCGATCTTGATTGGCGCGGTTGCAGCATCCACAGGTGCAGAAGCAGAAAAACGTACTGCGAATTAGTGCACATTTTCAGTGTTACAACTTTGTCTTGCAATAGATTGGAATAAGACGGCGTATGGATCACCATCTCCATTGGAACGTGGGGAGACCAGTCTTATCATGCCCATTGCTTTGCAGCAACTCACCCCAAGTTTCATATCCATTGTTGGTATTTCTGCAACAACTGCTGCTGTGATGTCAACAATTGACTCACTTCTACTGGCAGCAGTTTCTCTCTTTGTGTCCAACATTTACAAGAGTATCTTAAGGACGAAGGTAAGAGAGTTTGCCACAGCTTTCTTCAGGTTAAAAATATCAGGTGGACTTCATCGCCCATATCGTACATCTCTGCAGGCATCTGATAGGGAAGTACAGTGGGTGATCCGGATCATGACGCTGGTAATTGGCCTCACAGGCACATCCCTCGTCTTCCTCGAGGCCAGCATTATGTCATTGTGGGTCCTTGGCTCCAGCATCACCTATGTCTTTATGTTCCCTCAACTCATTTGCGTCCTCTTCTTCGACATCTCCAATGGCTACGGTGCCATGGCGGGTCTCTTGGTCAGTGTGGTGCTGCGACTGCTGAGCGGCGAGACGTCTTTAGGGTTACCTGTCACCCTCCATTTCCCAGGATGCACACTTGAAAACGGAGTATATGTGCAGCATGCACCTGTTAGTACTATATGCATGCTGTGTAATTTTATCTCCACTTTGTTGGTCTCTTACCTGGCTTCACTGCTGTTCAATAAAGGTGTGATTCCAGAGAGATTTGACATATTGCAGGTGAAAACCCGACAGTCACCACAGATTCTCATGTTAGCGAGCAGTGATACTGTTGGAAACCACAAGGACGAGACACCTGGAGCTCAAAATGAAAATGAAATCATGTTGGATGAATCATGTGGCAATAATTGAAAAAAATCAACTTGGCTAAGTCAGATTTTTGGGCGGCTGTTTTTTGTGTTCTCTGGTCATATGGTTGCTGGAAAACTGGGAAAAGCTGTGTTTTCAATTTTTGAATAAAACTGTACACAATTGCTCTTGCTGTTCCCACTGTTGCATATACTGTAATCACAGTTTTAATGTTTTTGTGGATTTTTATTTCTTGTCATTTTCTTTCTCATCAAATGCTTGATTCACTTCCACAAAAGCAGTTACACAAACTGACGGAGCTTTCTGCTAATTCGATCACTATGAACCCCCAAATTTAAGATTAGCTCAAGAACAGTGTGCAGAGAGCTTCAAAGAATATGTTTTTATGGCTGAGCGCTGCATCAAAGCCACACATCACCAATGCAAAGTGCTGGATGCAGTGGTACAATGCATGCCGCTTTATTCACTTTAGAGCAGTGGAAAAGCGTTGTCTGGAGTGATGAATCACGCTATGTTGACTGCTAATTGTAAAGTTTGGTGGAAGGGGGGTTATGTTGTGGGGTTGTTTTTCAGGAGCTGGGGTTGTCCCAGTGAAATTAACGAGCACTGAACACATCAGCATACTAAAAGCTTTTGAACCGGGTCAGTGCTGGACCTTCTCAGTCTGTCACTGATGGACTCCCATTTCTCAGATAACTGACGGAAACACACTGCATGTTAGTATTGTATTTGCTCGCGCGGGTAAATATATGCCGGGGTTGCTTCAAGCGGTTATGAAGTTGGATTATAGCTATACTCAGTTATTAAATCTCAAATTCAAGCATAAAATGTCAGGGCAAATAGACCACAAGTCAACTTTAACATACAAACCTTTTTCAACTCTTTGACATACTATGAGTTGTTAAACATTCAGCGGAAGGATTGGAAATGTCAGTCAACAAATATCAAAAATCAAAATGAGCGGCAGTTAAAAAGGCTGCAAAAATAAGAGAATCCTTAAAGGAGCTCATGAAATCAAACGATTATGAAAAGTCTGTACCACGTCATTTCGGTGAATTAAGTCATTTAAGTGGTTTCAGACAAATATCGATAACTTGGAGGCTTTCATACATGATAGAAATAAACAGACGCCAGAGTTGAAACAGCAAACCACTAATGCAACTGTCACTGTTTAAATTGAGCCACATATCCCTGTCAGCCAAGGAAGAGATTCTCAAATGCATTCTATAATTGAAAAGGAACCACCAACAACACACATTCCTGTTATGAGTGAGTCAAACCTGAGTATTGTGAATTCTGACGAGGTTGGACCTAATTACAGTGTGTCAAATATTTCCACCAATAAATCCACACGCAAATCCACCCCATCAAGATGATCTTCATCAACCTCATCTGCTCGCATTATCGCTCAGGCTGAGAAAGCCGCTCTGATGCAAGACATGGCTACCTTGAAGAAAATGCAGCAAATTGAAGCACAGGAAAGACTGCAACAGGAACAATTCAAAATACAACAAGAACAACCGATAATGCATTAAGAGAACCTGGAAATGGAGAGTAAACTAGCAGCAGCAAGGCACAGGTACTGGAAACTATGAGACCCGGGAAAAATTCACAAATATCAATTGGGATGAACCCGCATCTGCAAGGAGCAACTGCAGCTGCCACTCAAAGGAAAACAACTCCTCCAATACAATACTCTCTTCCCAAGCAAACACCATCAATAAAATATCCTCTCCTCAGTCAAAATGTACAATGTGAAAATTGTCAAATGGGTCCAGCAGTCCGGTGATGTGTTTTAGGTGGTTCAGCACAAGTCATTCGAAGGACTTTATGACCACGGACATCAGAGCAACAGTCCTATAGTCATTCAGTTCCGATGTTGCTGGGTTCTTGGGAACTGGGATGATGGTGGACTGTTTGAAGCAGAACGGGACCTCACACAGCTCCAGGGATCTGTTGAAGATCTGCGCCCGCTGGTCAGGAGAGTTTCAGGAGGGAGGGCGACACCTTATAAGTTATTAAGATAAGATATCCTTTATTTGTCCCACACTGGGGAAATTTACAGCCTTCAGCAGCAAGATTGTGGGTAGAAAGAAGAGAAAAGAAAACACAGTTCAATTAAGTGCAATATAAATACAAATATGGATAAGGTCAATAAGTTCAATTAAGTGCAATATAAATACAATAGTCACAGTACTATTCACATTCACATTTGTTGTCATATCATTTAAATAATTTTATGATTTATTTATTTATTCATTTTTTATTCAGCAGCCTGACAGCAGTCGGTAGGAACGAGCAGCGGTATCTCTCCGTCTTGCAACGCGGGTGTAACAGTCTCTGACTGAAGGAGCTACCGAGTGCTGTCAGGGCGGGCTGGAGGGGGGGGGGCTGCCTGACCAGCAGACAATGCCATAATGGATGGCCGAGGCCACCACCGAGTTATAGAAAGTCTTAAGGAGTGACCCCTGAACCCCAAAAGACCTCAGTTTCCTGAGTAGGAAAAGTCTGCTCTGACCTTTCCTAATCAGGGTGTCCGTGTTAGTCGACCAGTCCAGTTTGTTGTTGAGAAGAACACCCAGGTACTTGTAGGAGGTCACCCTCTCTATGTCCATACCCTGGATGTTATCCGGCCCCGCGGCTTTCTTGATCTTCTGCTGCTTAAAGAGCCGTCTCACGTCGTGTTCATGGATCTCCAGGACAGGGAATGAGGTCTGGGTTGGGGATGAGGTACTTTCTAGTGGGGGTGGGCAGGTGTGGGAAGCGGAGGCGTCCTTTTCGAATCTGCAGAAAAACATGTTTAGATCGTCAGCCAGTCCCTTATTGTTCACTGCTTGACGGGATGGTGTCCTGTCGTTTGTAGTTGCTTTCAGGCCATTCTACCCAGATGCAGAGTCGTTAGCAGAAAACTGTTTTTTTAGCCTTTCTGCATAGCTTCTCTTTGCCATGTGAATTTCCTTTGTCAATAAGTTTTGGGCGTGCTTGTACGGTGCCCTATCTCCAATTCTAAGGGCGGCCTCTACCTTTCCTAAGTTGCCTGAGTTTGGCAGTGAGACATGGCCTGTTATTGTTGAAAGAGCGGAAGGACTTTGTTGGTACACAAGTCCTCAAAGATTAACGGAGCACTCTAACTTGTCCTTAGGTGTACAGTAATTGTGAGTGTGAATGGTTGTTTTTCTCTGTGTGCCCTGCTGGCAGTTCAAGCATGCCACGAGCCTGAGCAGCTCGGATAATGGTTGGATGGATGGATTTGATGCATTGAAAGAATCTTCGTGTTTTTGAGATGCCCTACTGTATGACTCGAGAATGTAATTGTGACCTTTGGATTTTTATTCTCTACTTGAGTGAAAGGTGGCGAGGCAGATATGTGTGTGATTGTCCTTGGCTCTAAGGTAGCCCATCTCCTCATCGCCCCTCGTCCCATGTTTGCGATGAATTTACAAGCACTTTTTTTTTCTGCAGTATATTTATAGTTTCTAGTTTTGATGAATGAATAAATGAATATTTTGTGTTTTATTATGTATTTATTTAAATATTTCTATACACCATGCATTACCATAACACTGACATGTATTATATTTGTTAGTAGGAATTTATGTAATGTTGGGGGAAGAGCGGCCTCCTCTTCCCCGCGTGTTCGTTGAATTTCGGACGAGGAGAATGTTGGTAATCCAAATTCGAAGGGTTTAATTTATTTTCTGCAGTTTACAAATCGATTCGGGCTCCTGAGGGGTCCAGATTTCAATCAGGAAGCATAAAAGAAACACATTCATGAGATTATATAGAGGCAATATGATAATGAGAGGCGGGGAGGGACACCTCTCATGCAAATCCCGGAAACAAAGAAAGTAACATGTCATCTGACCCGGTGTGGTTGGAAGAAGTTGGGAGTGGTGAGGTGAGACCAGACCACCACTACCCACCATTTGGTGTGATGGCAGGAACACAGATACTTGAGATAACAATTCCTCTTTTGATGTTAAACAGGTCTTATGGAGGGGGGCCCTAAAAGTGATGGGGGTCAAGGGGCACTAAATGTGATTGTAAACACAGTGAGCAGGAAATACCTCCAACAACATTCTACATTCTTTGTTTCTTTCAAATCCAACTAACAGAGAGTAATAATACCTTAACAGTAATCATGTGTGAAAAGTACAATGTCAGGTTTTCCAATTGTTCTTCTGATTCATATTGCACACCACTCCTTCGTCCGCGCCACTGTACCCCCTCTGCACTGATTCTGTGTGGGATCACTTCATGCTCATATTGTAGTTCAAAACATGTCTGGTGTGAACGCAGCATTACTCATCTGGGGTCCCCAATTAGGTTTCGAGGGGGTCTAATGCCACCCCGGCCCATGTGTCAATGCCGCTTCCAAATTAACATTAAAATTGCTTTTGGTTTTTTCAAGCTGTGTTTTTTATTGACAACAGTGGTAAATTAGCAAGATTATTTCATCAAATATAAAGACGTTGATGTTTGTTTTCCTAGATAAGCGGAAGAAAATGGATGGAGAGATGCATGCGTCTGTTGAATAAATTTCAGCCTCCAATACAGTTGAGCAAATAACGGAAGTTTGCACACATTTTGGATCTGTAAACAGAGTGATTAGGGTGTGGCAGACAGGACACACCTCCTCCAGCCTTAACAAGAGAAGTAGAGTTTGAATATGAAATAAAGTGGACCCGGCCCCCCGCTATTTTACGGTATAGGGACCGGGCAGGCCCGCTAATAGTCAAAATCGACAATGTATAACTGACAGGAAAAAAAGTCCATCCATCTATTTATTTTCTACACCACTTGCCCTCATGAAGGTTGCAGGGGGTGCTGGAGCCTATCCCAGCTGTCTTCGGGCAGGAGGCGGGAGACACCCTGAACCGGTTGCTAGCCAATCACAGGGCTAGAGGTAAGATCGGGCCAAAAAAATCCAGCCTGATCCGACCCGGCCCGCTGGTATTTAAGCCCGACCCGGCCCGAGCCCGACCAATTAACTTGATTTGCAGGCCCGAGCCCGAAGCAAACCCTACATTTCCTCTTTTATATGTGATGACTTGGGAGGAGGAGGGG